GTGCTCCAGGTGCCAGATAAGAAGTTCCCGTGTGGCCTGTGGAGAGGCCCCTGATGGAGCAAGCTGTCCCCCTGCAAAGGCTTCAGGAATTTCTTCATTTAGCCCCAAAGGGCTGAAAACTTTAGAACCAGATGAATCTCAACATACTGATGACTGTCTGGTTAACTGTTTTTTAGTTGGAGACAAAAATACCTCTTTGACAAATTCCTTCCTGTGCAAGGAACTTGCAAGTTTGTCTCACAACGTCAATTAGCCAACCTAGGATTTACTGGAGTGTAATATGGAAATTAGCACACACTTTTAAAATCATACGATTGGTTGTAATGTGTGTATTCTGAGAGGATTTAGTGGTGCAGCATTTTCTACAGGTTTATCTACAGCATCTCTGTAGAAATAAGGACAGAACCACAGATCCACAGAAGTTCACTTTCTCCATAGTGATTTAATAGGATGTTTAAATATTTCACCTTAAGACAGGATTGTTTCTGTCCCTGGGCAAGAAATCTAATTTAGATGCCTGTATTAGTTTCACTGGATCTGAGCCACAGTGTATTTAATACTCAAAGATTATACATTATCCTACTGATGTGACTAGCAAGCCTGTAAAAGGGGTATTATTAGCAGTGTTGCAGGCATAAAGGCAATAATATTTATGTTTTATCCTATGCTGCTTTTTAGCATTTATTGTTAATTGATGATCTACTATTACAAGCCATTGCAAAAACATCCATTATAAACACAATATGCTGGTGGAGTACAAGTTATCTTTAACTTAGCCATTTCTGCAAGTAAATATTTGTACCCTTTATCATGCATGCCTCTGCTGAGATCCATTAAAACATATGCTTAACGTCCTCATTCTTACTAGTCATGCTATTCTAGGCACCTACTATCATGTGTTAACTCTGAACTCTTGCTTGTAAATTTCTTCAGCAATCCATCAATCATCAGCAATTCCTCATGCTCTTAAGAAATGTAGTAAAAAGAATGTTTTACCCAAAAGAAGCTGCACACACTCTTGGCTCATGCTGTACTCTTGACACTAACAGCTATATTACACTGTATTCAGACATTCAGCAAAAACAATTTATATTTTTTACCTCAGTAAATGGGGTTACACTAGCACTAGTGGAACATACAGGGCTAGGCAGAGGCTCAAACATGCTGCTGAATTGCTAGAGGATACTTCCAGATGCAGATTCAGTCATGGAACGGAAGACACAAGCACAGAAGAAACTATTCTATTTTGGGAAAAGGTCAGAAAAAGACGAGGTGAGCTGTCTGAATTCTGAATTATATATTTTGATATCCTATTGCTCAAGTCTGACCACATTGCCGGTGTAATTAAAGAACCTTGAGAGTGAAAGGAGGCATCATAAAACACAGGCTATAAATTTAATCCTTCATTTTCAGTCAATCTTTCCAATCTGTTAATAATCTTTTCATTCTATGACTTCATCTTTTTTAGTGCATTTAAAAGTAAGGAACCCAAATCTGTTTCCTCAAGGTCTAGTGATTAGATTTTAATTTTGACCCTGCTTCTCTCAGAGAGCTTTTTAGTTAATTTTCAGTGGAATCAAAATGACAGAATGTTTTATTGGATTTTTACTTAAGTATAAACCGTAATAGGGAAAATTTCACCTCTTGGTAATAAAAAATAAATTTTCACCTCCAGTTCTCAATAACTTTCTGTTAAAACTTTGTTATATCTTAACTTTAATCTGGAAATAATTACTAACACTTTTTCAGCATTACTGCAAATATTTATACAATAGTCATGCATAAAAGTTAATTTTTAGATTAAACAGAAAAACAAAGAAACCAACCTACACCAACCTAAAATTATTTTTGAAATTTGAAATTCCTTAAACAGCTTTGAAACTGTTATTTTTTTGCATATATCCCGTTGACTGGTCACCTGCTTCCTGACTGTTCAAAAAGGAACACTATCTCAAAAAATTGGAATTGAATCTGAATAAAAAAGTTTTATCGGATTTTTTTTTTCCTGAAAAATCCAGAATGTAATTCAGTTTGAGGTTAACACAACGGTATTAGAAGTTTATAGTTGTGTATCAGTGATGTATGATACTACTACATGTTTTTATTTGTGATGCATATCTATGACAGGCAGTGGAAGTACCTGGTGTACTGTGTTTAGCTCTGGGGACCCCAGCACAAAAAGGACATGGAAGTATTAGAACAAGTCCAGAGTAGGGCCACGAGGATGACCAACTAAGGCTGTGGGAGTTGGGGTTGTTCAGCCTGGAGAGGAGAAAGCTCTGGGAAGATCTTATAGCACCCTTCCAATACCTAAAGGGGGCCTAGAGGTGGGGAGGGACTCTTTGTCAGGGAGTATAGTCATAGACAAGGGGTAATGGCTTTGAACTAAAAGAGGGTAGAGTTAGATTAGATATAAGGAGGAAATTCTTTGCTCAGAAGATGGTGAGGCAATGGAACAGGTTGCCCAGAGATGCTGTGGACGCCCCATCCCTGGAAGTGTTCAAGGCCAAGTTGGATGGGGCTTTGAGAGGTTAGTATTCAGAATAGCAACAAAGATTCACAACCAAAAAATGTTTGCCTCATATTCTTTTTGTCATTTTTATTGCATGGTCTGAAGGAAATACATTTTGCAGACTCATAGACAAGGATGAAAAAGCTCAACAATATTTTTTGTTGTATCAGTGAATTCTTTATTCATTCATCACACCCTCAGCTCAGGATTTGATCTCCAAGGAACAGTAACTATGCCCAAATGAACCTGAAGAGATTTAGCCAAGTAAGAACATTGTCTCTTGCTTCCTATGCAGTAGTAACTTCTGTAGACATTGATATGATCTGCTATTATTGCTAGTACAATTATGGAACAATCTAAATGTCACCTTTAACAAATAAGACTGAACTGGCAGCTGTTTCTAACTTTACTCATGGCTGGCTAATTATCTGTTTTGTGACATTTCTCAGAAACACTTACGAGCAGTCATTTAACCTCATTTAATCCTATCTAGCTGTATTGGGTGTGTGCGGTGAGGTTTTTGCAGCGGGCAGGCTTGTACAACGACACTGTGAGGAGGAGCCAGGGCCTTCCCCATGTCAGACACAGCCAGTTCCAGATGGCTGCAAAGGCCCCACCAGCAGGGCATGGCTGAGCCTAGCAGTGAAAATAGCGGCACCTCTGAGAAAAAGTATTTAAGAATCATAAAATCAATTAGGTTAGAAAAGTCCTCTAAGATCATCAAGTCCAACCCCTAACCTAGCACTCCCAAATCCACCATTAAACCATACCCCTAAGCACTACATCTGCACTTGTTTTGTATACCTCCAGGGACTCAACTGCTTCCCTAGGCAGCTGGTTCCAGTTCTTCACAACCCTTTCAGAGAAGATTTTTTTTTTTTCTAATATCCAACCTAAACCTCCCCTGGAACAATTTGAGGACATTTCTTCTTGTCCTGTCATTGTTGCCTCAGAGAAGAGACTGAACCCCACCCTGCTACAACACCTCCTTTGAGGTATTTGTAGAGAGCAATAAGGTCTCCTGAGCCTTTTTATCGCAAGTCTAAACAACCCCAGCTCCCACAGAAGCTCCTCTACAGATTTGTTCTCTAGACCCTTCAGTAGCTTCATTGCTCTTCTTTCGACACACTCCACGGATCTCAATGTCCTTGTAGTGAGGGGAACAAGAATGAATGCAATATTTGAGGTGTGGCCTAACTAGAGACAAATACAGATGGACAATCACTTCCCTGGTCCCACTGGCGATACTGTTTCAGATACAAGCCAGGATGCTGTTGGCCTCCATGGCCACCTGAGCACACTGCCGTCTCATTTTCAGCCAGCTATCGACCAATATGTCCAGCTCTGTTTCACCAGCCAGCTTTCCAACCAGTCAGCTTTCCAGCCATCCTGTAGCATTGCATGGGGTTGTAGTGCCTCAAGGGCAGGACCTGGCACTTAGCCTCATTGAACCTCCTACAGCTGACCTCGGCACATCGGTTCAGCCTATCCAGATCCCTCTGCAGAGCCTTCCCACCCTAAAGCACTGGTGTCCAAATCTGCAAAATTACTGAGGGTGCACCTGATCCCCTCATCCAGATCATTAATAAAGATATTGAAGAGAACTGTCCCAATACTGAGCCCTGGGAGACACCACTAGTGACCAGTTGTCCAAACTGAAGTTGTTCAAAACTTTCAAGTTGTCCAAACTGACCGACTTACTGCATACTACAACTTGCAGGCCTTTATCTCTTCTTAAATTCTGCGGTGTCCCCAAGAAGAATTTGGTTCCATCAGCATCTGAACTACCTTTAAAGAAGTTTTAAGTTGCTACTAGGGCATCACTTAGGCTCCTCTTCACCAAACAGAAGAAGTTTGTTCCCTCAGGCTCGTAGCTCATATACCATCTTGGTAGCCCATCACTGGACCTTCTCCAGCTTCTGTCTATACCTCTTGAACTGTGGAGTTCAAAACTGGAAATGGTATTCCAGGTGCAGCCTTGCCAACACCAGGTACTATCGCAATAATAACTTCACGCAACTTGCTGAAAAAGTTTTTCCTGATGTAGCCCAATATGAAGTTTTCATCATTTGCACAGTGAGTTCATATTCAAGCTGGAATCTGTCATAAACCCAAGTTGTTGTTTGTTGTTATTGTTTTTGTAGTTGTTTCATTTTGTTGCTGCTGTTGTAATTATTTTAGTCTTTTTGTTTGTTTTGCTTTTGTTTTGTTTTTGAAAAATTACCATTCTACGTATCTTTTTGGCACGTTATAATGCAAGTGGTTACTCCTCTCCAAGTTCACAACTCTGCATATATTCAGTGTTTGTTTGCCTAACCTTCAGATTTATTGAAGCTACTCTGAATGAAGGGCTGCCATTCTTTTTGTCTAATTCTGAAAAGTACTGCTCTTAAACATCCAGAGTGTTCAGCATTTTCAGATTATAAACTGGTGAGAGTTTTCACAACTGTGATTATAGTATAAATAAAACAAAATAAAACAAAATTACCTGAGGTGGAAGCAGTGGTAATCTTACATAAGCAAGCAGCATACTTAGGTCACTGCATCGCCTCTGCATATCATACTTCACCCACATCATTAAGGCATGGAAAATGGTCTCTTCATCAGGAACATTCACATCATCGCTAGCAAGAAGTTTATGAAGTTCTTCAGCTGGTAGAAGTAAAAATTCTTGATTTCTTATAACTTCCATTATATTCTCCTGAGAAGAGGAAAGTATTTCAGATTCAGTAATACTGGAAAAATGTAAAAGCAGTTGTTAAAGCTAATAAATCCATCGGATTAGTCAGTATCTGTCATACCCAGCTTTCTTATAGCTTATAAGAAAAAAAACAAAGATGATTGTAGTTAAACAGCTATATTTGTAACTCATATATCAATGTATTCCAAAAGCAAAAGGAAGGCAATATGGTAATATTGTAATTAAAAAATGTCAGCATTTGGTTAGCCAGAACAGCTAGTGCGGAGCTGCATGCTGTTTAAAATTTTTATAAATTTAGTTGTAATTGAGCACAGTCAATGTATTTTAAATCCTTACATGCATATGCATGCATTTCCCCATATTTTTCACTACCTGATACATTTCTCAAATAACCTGTCAGTCAGATACAGCTGTATTATCAATAGCCAGATAATGGTTGTCTAGAAATATAAGGCTACAAGAAAGATCAAGATCATGAATTTAGCATTACTTCATGAATTTGCTTAAATAGATTTTTACTGTTCAGCTAACAAACAAAATGTATACAACATTTAAAATCTCACAGTACTGAAATTTATTACACATATAGGAATAACAAAAATATTAAACTAAACAAAAGTACTTAATTTAGGTGACTGCATCCTAGGTGAAGTGCTGTCTGAACTACCTACCCTACAATAACAGGACACAACAGAAACGTAGTTCTGGGGGGTATCTTACTCTGACCCTAGTAAATCACATTTTGTCCTTTTATTCCCATTTAATACAGGTAAATCATGATTTTAATTCGCCAGCATCATACATTTTGAAAGTCACTGTTTAAAAGAATCACTGTTTAAAAGAATCTATTTAACTCTATCTGTGTATTATTATTTTTTTGTATAAGCTAGCAGATAGATGAATAGATGATACAGATGAATAGGTAGATAAATAATAAAGACATATTTATAACAAAATCATGACAGACTGAAATTCATTTAATTGTGTGAGGCAGTTACATGCAAACTTATACACGCAAATAAAATAAATCAAGTAAAGCTGAAAGTGATGCTTATTATTATGAATGTGAACACTTCCATGTAAAACTTTTAATAATGTACAGCTTTTTTTTATATACACAAACAAAAAGGGATGCCAACACAGGAGGTAATCAAATGTATATATATACATATAAATATACATATATATATGTTCATAATCTTTCTTAACTGTGCTGTTATTTTCATATAACTGATAATTACATACTACAAGATCATAGAATCACAGAATCATAATTTAGGTTGGAAAAGACCTCTAAGATCATCAAGTCAAACCTTTAACCTAGCACTGCCAAAACAACCATTAAACTATGTCACTAAGCTGTACATGTATACATTTTTAAAAGACTTTCAGGGATGGTGACTCAACCATTTCCCTGGGCAGCCTATTCCATTGCTATGCAACCCTTCAAATTGAGAAAATTTCCTAAAATACAATCTAAACCTCCCGTGGTGCAGCTTAAGGCCTGCCTTATTGATTGGTGCTTAGGAGAAGTGAATGACCCCCATCCCAATATAGCCTCCTTTAAAGTATTTCTGGAGATCAATAAGGCCTCCTGAGCCTTCCTTTTGCCAGTATAAACAACCTCAGTTCCCTCAGAAGCTCCTCTACAGATTTGTTCTCTAGACCCTTCAGTAGCTTCATTGCCCTTCTTTCAACACACTCCACCAAACTCAATGTCCTTCTTGTAGTGAGGGGCCGAAGACTGAACGCAGTATTTGAGGTGTGGCCACACCAGAGACAAATTTAGGAGTTTTAGGAGTTTTAGGTTGGATGTTAGGAAGAACTTCTTTACCAAAAGGGTTGTTAGACATTGGAACAGGCTACCCAGGGAAGTGGTGGAGTCACCATCCCTGGAGATCTTTAAAAGACGTTTAGATGTTGAACTTAGTGATATGGTTTAGTGGAGGACTTGTTAGTGTTAGATCAGAGGTTGGACTTGATGATCTTGACATCTCTTCCAACCTAGAAATTCTGTGAAATTCTGTGATTCTGTGAAATACAGATGGACATTTGTACTGGGTCTGGCTGGAATGTTAACTTTCCCGACAGCAGCCCATACAGTGCCGTACTCTGTACTTATAGCTGGAACAGCAGTGTTATCACACCAGTGTTGTGTCTACTGCTGAGCAGCAGTGGCACAGTATTAGGCCTTTCTCTAACCCTCCTAGGGGGTGGGCAAAAGGTGAGGAGAGAAACATCACTAGGGCAGCTGGCCTAAACCAACCAAAGGGATATTCCATACCATGTGACGTCACACTCAGCAATAAAAGGTGGAAACAGGAAGAAGAGGGGAGGGGTGGGCTCTCGTTGAGAAGACGTTGGTCTTCCTCTTGAACACCGGCTGCATGCGTTGAGGCCTTGCTTCAAGGACATGGTCAATCATCGCTCATTTGTGGGAAGTAGAGAGTAATTTCTTTCCTCTGCACTTCCATATAGCCTTCATTTATTTTGTTTGTTTGTTTTCCTCCCTTCTTTCTATTTTCCCTTTTTTCCCCTCCCTTTCCCTTTTCCCTTTTTATTTCCCCTTAGTTAAATTGTTTAGTTCATGGTAGTCTTTATTTAATTATTATTTCCCTTTAATTAAATTATCCTTATCTCAACCCGTGAGTTGTTCTTTGCTTTACTTCTTCCCCTCCTCATCTAAAGGAGGGGGAGTGAGAGAGCGGTTGTGGGGTTTAGCTGCCCAGCACGGTAAAACCACCACAACATTCACTTCCCTAGTCCCACTGGCGATGCTATTTCAGATATGAGCCAGGATGCTGTTGGCCTGCTTGACCACCTCAGCACACTGCCAGCTTATATTCAGCTGACTAATGACCGTTAACCCCAGGTCCCTTTCTGCCAGGCAACTTTCCAGCCATCCTGTAGCCTTGCATGGGGTTGTTGTGCCCCAAATGCAGGACTCAGTTATTTTTAAATTGCTTGAGTAAATATTAAGAGGTAGCTAAAAATATATTGTTATGGACTGAGGTTTTAATCCATTGACTTCTAATAAAGCATGTTTAAATTGTGTGTCTAGAATGCTGTAAAACAGCTTAGAAATGTAAAGGAAATAGTTTGCAGGCAGTTTAACTAAAAGTTGGCTTAATTCATTTTAATTAAAAAGTCATAAAACTTAGAAAATTTCATTGCACTTTTCAATAAAATGATTTATAAGCCAAATTTTAATTAAGGTTGGTTAAACAGACATTAAATCCCATTATGAAGAATATATAACTTGACTTGTTAATAGGAACCAGTATCAAACTTTGCAATAGCATATTAATTCAAAGACCTAACATTATTGAGAAGCATTATGATGGTAGAATACATTTTATGAACTTAATTTTGAAGAACACTCAAAGCAGTGGCTCTGAATTAATAATAATAATTTTAATATTATTATGACTGATTTTTTTATCATTTTAAATTGTGTTTTCAGTCAGATATATACTTAAGGATAGCTTATTCTAGCCTCTGTACAGACCTACCATTAACTGAAAGGAATATCCAGCAGTTTCCAGACAAAACATATGAGTTAGTAAGCCCAAATCTTCTGAACATTTGAACTTACAGTAGTTTCCTGTGAGTCAGATCTGAGTATTGTAGAAATAGATATTTTTTAAATCTTTACAGAACTGTAACTACTTTGTATATGTATACATACACACACATTTATATGTTATATTCATATATGTTTTACATATATAAAACAACACTAAAATCCAGTTTCTTGATCTTCAGAGATCTCTCCTTCATGTATTTAGTATTTCCTAAATTGACAATTGAATTTATAACACCGATAGACCACATTTTAATTTCCTGAGATTCATTTGGAGCAGCAAAGTGTATTTCAATGGGCTGCTGTTTTATCACAACAGAAATAGTTTATTATAAGTTTTCATTACAGAAAAAAAATATCTGCTTCTCTTTTAAAATAAAATTTGCCTTCATTTTTTGCACTTCAGGGAGCAGGATAAAACAGATGTCTGCAATCTACTGGTTAAGATTTTCAGAATAGATGGAATAGCTTTTTTAATACTCCAGGTCCAAGATAGTCATTGACCTACTCAGTCCTCATGTAGTGAAGTGCTTTTAGGAATGCTTAGGTCCATGGAAGATCAGAAACGTTAACTCAAGAAAAGGTACTCAACATTTAAACATGTTCAGGGTTATGTGACAGAGGTTTATGACTTTTCAGGTGTATGATTTACAGTTTTTAACCTGTAATTTTTGACTCTGGAACTTAAGGGACTTTGTAGATCTGGTCTTCATGTCTTTTCTCATGTGTCTACTGCCTCTCCTGCATGGGTCATTCACTTAGCCTTTCCCTTAAGCAAGAATTATAATGTTTTAATTAAGTATTGTATTTTTGCTTTTAAATTAGAAAAGCAGTAGAAAGTATGAGAATTTCTGAAGTCACAGAGAAAGCTGTGTCTCATATGGTTGACCTTCCACTTTTTCAAAATGAGCATGAAATAACCATTACTGTGGGGCTATAGCATTTCCACAATAGAGCTGTTTCACTTTTAAACCTTTACAGCAGCACAGAGGATTAGAATTAAATGACCATAAAGTATTATATGAGTGAAATAACATAAACAAAATATATCTATATTTGAAGGTAGATAAATAAGCATGTGAGTATTTGAGTCTAACAGATTATGCATCATAGGAACACAAATGAACAAACGAAATTTAACTATTACCACACAGAATTTAATAAAAATAAATTCTATTACCTATATCCTTATAATAATGTTATCAACACAAATGAATTTGATTTTTTTTTTAATCAAGACTTGTAATGATCATTATTTCACATGGAATCAAATTATCTTGCAAAAGTAAGTTCTTATTGATGTTTATGTCATTGAATTCACTAATCAGCACGTATGCAGTTGTAAGAAAGAACCTGAAAATTATTTCTCCTACATATTAAAAAAAAATGAATTAATTTCACACCTTGACCATCAAAG